CTTACTAGAAGCTGGACACATGAACAGTAGCACTACAAACACGATGAAGCATCTTAAAGACTGATGCCTTGGTCGTTATTACGACTGTTGGGAGGTCAGTAAGTCTCCTGTTTTAACAACAAGTATTAAACAGTTATCTGAAGTGTTGACCTTGCCACTGTCCGCATAAACATGAGCCATTTAAGTATTAGCAGCTACCTGCAGGTAGGTAGCAACTAGTGGCTATAATAAAATGGTAATATTAATGTGGTCTTGTCTGTCTGTAACATTAATAAACAGTATAAATTTAACAGGATAACACAGTTAACTGTAGTATTATGTTATTAGGTTATTACTGGGCACGATTCAAAAAACAGCATGAAAATCTGAATTTTCGGATTCTGAACTTGTCATCTAACACACACATACACCGAATGCACTGTGTTGTTGAGGAAAATGTGAGGACAAAGAAGTTGATATTAAGCGGTCCTGTTGTTTCTAAACCCGGAGAAGGAGGAAACAAAGATTCTAGGTTCATTCAAGTCTCCGAAAAAAGCAGCAGCAGGGAGAATTTCATACTTTGAACCAGGAGTTAAAGCTGTATCACAACTGCTTTCATACATATGTCAGGATGTCAGGGGGGCAGTTTGAACTCTTGTTGGCAGAGTTGGGACCACATCTGAGGAGGCGGATGAATCATTTCAGAAAGCTAAAGAAAAATAAATGCTGCAAATTCATCCAGTGAAATTACGCGGTTGGTGTGAATTTGCACATTAAGAATGGGTGAATCCAAAAACTATTTTTAAAGCACAAAATATTCTCACAAATATTACACATCTGATGTGTAAAGCCTTCAGGATGTCAGTGGAACTTCCATATTATGGTCTCCTAATGTGTCTTCAACTGTGCTAAGAGCACAAAATCATGATGCTCATTGTTCTATACAGTTTCTCTTTATGCTGCATGTACTGTGTCATAATGAAATGAAATCATGTAGAGATTTATGCCATAACAAAAACCCCTCACAAAACATCAATTATAAATATAATTAAATAAAAATATTGTCCTGTCAGCAACTAAAATAGCAGCCTGGAAATCTTATCCCTGTCGCTTCACTCTTAACTGAAATGGAAAAGTAAATGGAGCTGGATGTAAACCAGCCAATGCAGAGAAAATTTAGAGAAGCATGGGGTGTTCATTAGAGAGATTAGTGTTAGTATATTCCCAGTTAGCTAGCCCATAGGGGGTTTGCTTGCCAGCTACAAAGTCCTAGAAGCAAGCCTGGCAGCGACAACCTTGAAATACTGCTGGACACATATGTGAGAAGTTATTTTCACTATCTGAACTGACTTTCACTTCAGTGGTCACTAGGACTGAGATGTATGAAAATATCACCTCCTTCCTTTGTACAATTCACCTTTTCTGTGTAGTTGTTCCTTTTGCTGAAAAAATAGCCTACATATAGCAAATTGGCATAGTGGCATGAGAAGAAATGCAAGGAGGGAAAGAATAAACGAGCAAAGGCAGACTTAAAACAATGGGCAGATATTTTCATTTCTCATTTGGCCAGAGCTTTGTTTAAATGGATTTGCATCCCTGGTGTGACATGCAAATTATTTAATGAATGACCACAGAAGCAAAAACTAAACTCCCACCAACTGCTGCATCAGACAGCTGGTATGAGATGATGGCGAGTAAGGCCTCTCTTGAGATGGTTCAAAACAGTTATGACAAAGGGGCGGTTTGTGTGCCTGTAGCAGCAATGTGTCCTTCTGCTGTTTTGTGTTTGCACAGCACCTTATATTGTAGCAATAAAATAATGCAGAGGCTTGTCACAGTGTCATAGTGAGGTTAAAATGTCAGTCTTTTTATGGATAGTGTAACTCTACAGAAAGAATGTTTTCAGAACTCCGTAAAAAATATCCAGTCCATGAGCACAGCTTGTCAAAAAGAGCAAGCTTAAATCATTTCAAATCAGCCTGTGAGCCCTGTCACACTCACTGTACTCTTACAGCTCTTACATCTCAATATCTCTGAACCATCATCTCCATCAGGCCCAGCTCCCATGGCCTTTTTTTAACGACCTCCATATCTCTGACACACCTCCTGGATTACAGCCGTGTGAAAAAGACAGACATGTATGGTGGTGATATTTGCAGCCTGAATCCCTCGTGATCCAGCAGAGCTCTGGAGCCAAGCAGCTGTTGCACAAAAACACTGAATAAGAAGCAAAAAGAGGCAAGCAGCTGCCATGCTTAGCCTCTTTTTAAACTAGCCGGCCACACGGATAAAAGCAAAAGTGTGTACTCACCAAATGGAAGTTCCATACTTGAACTGACTTGTGAGTTTACATTGACCATGTCGTCCTCTCCTTCCTCCCGAGCATATGTTTTAAATCCACTATTTTCTCCCCTCACCATAAGGTGTAAAATGTGGAAGTCTGGCGCAGGGTGCTGTAGTGCGAGAAGGGTGTTGTTGGTGCAAGGTAAGGCTGGTGTTGCTGCTGTTATCTTATTGATTTTCCTAATCTGGGCAAATGTGGGTGGGGAGGTTAAACAGTAACCAGGCTCGTATGGACACCAATCTATATAGCAGCTGTAGCTATGGCAACATGATGATAGAAACTCAAATAGACATAAAGTTATTGTGCTCTTTTCCCTCTTTCTCATCACCCAACAGCCATTTCTCAGTCGAAGATGAAAATTGTGTAAGAATAAGAGTTTATGTAAAATAGAATGAAAGAAAGAGGGTGGGGAGGGACATAAAAGACAGAGGAGTGGAGAATGTACTGAGGGTGGCAGCAAGCATACTGTATGACGAGTGACATCATCAGTTTTGTTTTGACTGAGGAGAAAACATTACTGCTTAGCCGTTATATACCTGGGGCCTGAACTCTCTGCGGATGCCAAAACATCCTCCCAGCAGAGATGGAAGCCCACCTTCATTTCATTGGAGAATGAGTTTAAATCAAATATATCGTTTGATTTAATTTCTTTGGCCTATAAGCTGTTGAGATGTCTGCCTTCTTTGAATGTAATGAAGCTAGTTGGCTCTTTGCCCTGTGCAGAAAAATAAATTTGAATAACTCAGTTATGACATAGGTATTGTAAAACTACATTCACCAACCAAAAGAAGGTGCTCAGCATGATAAATGTGGCAATCATAAGGTCAGTGTGTGGCTCCTTCGCTCTACATTTGGGAAGTTCAACATTATTTTTCACCCCGATGCTTAAAGGTAAAGAATATGTGTGTCTGTCTGAGGGGATTATAGTGTAAAAGTGTAAAATCACTTTTAATGGCTAGCAAGAGTTGAAAATCATAATACAGCTATCAGTTTACAATGTTTACATCCTGTTACAGTGTCACAAGCCCTCCTCTGGCTTTCTTCTGCTAAGTGAGACGGTTGGCGTGTAAACATGGATGCCATCTCCTCACCGGAGCTTTAAAGTTTGCAAGCTTCACGCTTCAGTTGGTTGGCAGGTACGGCTTGGTAGACAGAGATTAATTCCCAAATGAAATTGCTCACAAAATGTTATGTTTTCATCCTTGAGCTAACTGGGACACACACCAAACAATCTAAATGGATAAAAAGAGACGAAATCTGTACATTTGATTTGGAAACAAGCCGTCCTTTACGATAATTCTATATCGTGCTGGCACATTTCAGCTGCATGCAAACAGACATTTTTGCTTCCATAGGGAAATTTGTCATATTTTCTTTGGGCACCTTCAAAAATATGTATTAATTCTTTCTAGTTGCTTAGTTTAAGACTGGCTGAAGATTGCAAAATCCACTCTCTGGCACCTCTAAAGCTCATTAACTAACACACTGATACTGCTTGTTAAGTTAAAATCGCCTAAAATGTAAAAAACAGTAAGTGTAACAGCATCTAAAGAAAAACCAGATTAAATATAATGTGTTAATTTAATAGGATTAGCTTGAGGATTTTGATTTTGATGTTGGTTTCTTCCGAGTTCAGTTTCTCTTGCTAATCGTCTGCAGGGATGAGGCGGTGTGGATATTCTCATGAAAATTTCATCCAGCGAGGATAACGGTGTTTTCCAAACATCTAACTGTTTGTATCAGTGGAAACAGATTGATTGAAATTCTGAAAACAGTGTATGCAATTACCTGTAAAACTACACCTGCACAAAAATGTAGAGTAAGGAGAAACACCTTGCACAAAGAAAGAAAATTACACCCACTCTCCATTTCTGAATAGAGCTGCTAAATAAACAATCATTACAGTCAACAAAGTGCTGATCTCAGATGCTCTTTATACTTGTTTGTGAGGGACTTTGTTTGCTTGGGAGAGACTGGTTTCTGTATCAAATGTTTTACGTTTGGGTGTGTGTGTGCGTGTGCGTGTGTGTCCACAAATCAGTTGAGCTGGGAGGCACAGCTGATTCCCTCGTATTTTAGGCCATAAAAGCTGCATTAGGCTCGGGTTTATGACAGAAAAAGTCTCTGATGGGTAAATGCTGAGCTGTAATGAGGTGAAATGCAGGACAGAAAATTTCCTGCAGCTGCAGTGAATAAACACAAGTGGTGAACAGTGAATTACTTGTGCTGAATATACAGCCTCATCAGTTATTTATAACTTAATTAATGTTCGGTCAGGCAAACAGGCAACCATAAATGCATTGTCATTTACTGTGGGAACAGGTTCACAGTCTAGAAAGACAATCAAAGATGTATATCAGGGCTAAAATGAGCAACTTGTAGCATAAAACTGCTTTTTTATTATTATTATTAAACAGGTTCTAACAGTGCAAAGCTCCTGAAAGTCAAAGGAAATAACAGTTTTAACATTATTTTGTAACTGGAATAGAAATTCAAGTGTTGCAGTAAATAAAGTATTTACAGTACAAATGGTAACAGTGGTAACTGGACACATGCGTCATTTATCCAGATTGTCTTGTTGTACAGCTTTTGTGAGTCACATTTGGAACTGTTGCGGATTCTTTTTTTCAGTTTACAAATTAAAACACTGTGTTGTGTTAATAGCTTCTTTCTTGTGTTAAAGTCTCCTGGGTTTTTTGTTCAGTGTGCACTGGTTTCTCCAGCAGGAGCCTCTGTAGCTGGATGGACAGAGAGAACATGGCTTTCCAGTCTTATACGGAGCTTCTCCTACCCAGTTTCCTCTGAAATACAAAGAAATATATTTAGCTAATTAAAAGGTGAGATTCTGAGTGTAATAGTTAAATGAGTATTTGCACCTGTGAGAGCAGGGTTTGGGTCTGTATTGGTTCTTTCTTTTTTACTTAGAACATGGACGAAAACAGCAACCGTCTATTTTCAGTTTTTGTTTTTGTTTGTCTGTTTGTTCTTATTTTTGCCAACTTCATTAAGACATTTGTATATACAAGTAAAGCTCACTTTTTGTTCTTGAAATCTGCCTCTTGTGTCCTATTTGAACCTGGTTTGAACTAAAAACATTAAACTGATCCCATATGTGTGAAATAAAACAGATCATTTGGATTTAAAGCATTTTCAAGATCTAATAGTAGACTAAAACTGAAACTACAACCAACAATGATTAGCTTATTAGCATTTGCATAGAGGATACTTATTTTCTACTTTAAAAAATAGGCATCCTATGTGTCTCGGAGGAAGCCACAGTTTTGAGCTGCATCTTTAAACTTTTGGTGAAAAAGTGAATGAGCATATTTCCCAAACTTTACTTTATCAAGTAGTTGCAGACCAGCAGCGTTGCTTCCCTCCAGGTGCTGCCGAACACGTCCATGTTGGAGCACTTCCTGACAGCACATCCCACTCTGTTGGTGCTCGCCCACACCATCTGACACAAACCATAGACACATGTTTTCTCTTCATATGCACACAAGTCAAAGCACACACATTTACAGAGGTTAGCGCTAATTTGAAAACACAACTGTTAGGCTGCTTTAAACCCAGAAATATGCATTTTAACCCTCCAAAGCAAGAAAGAAGTGTTTAATAAAATAAAAGAGAAAAGGATCCGACCTTTTCCAGAAAGAATAGATTATAAATACTTGATTATAATCTAAATGATGAGTTTTTCAATAACTGAAGCCACATTTTTTATGGAACACATACACTGACGGTGCTATATTTACTGTTTTAAATGTGCCTAAAGAGCTGCACACACTTTACATTATTACATTATTATGATATACAACAGAACACAAGACATCTGATGGACGTGCATTGATTCTGTGTAAAATCAACAACCCTAAACAAAGAGTCCTGAGCATCACCATCATAGAGTCAGACTGAGAATAGATGAAGAGACAGAAAACACAGAAAAACTGTGAAAAGCTCTTCAAAGTGCCGAGAAAAACCCACCAGATAAGTGCTTAGAAAAGCTGTGTGCTATTGTTTCTATAGGTGAGCTGAAAAAATATTTATTAAATTCAGGTTTTCACTGTTTTCTGCATTTTGAAATTAATGAAATTGATGATAAATGTATTTTTTAATATCTTAACACTTAGTTTCACAGTATGTACAAACATATAAATATCTAATGGTTATTATACAGCATAGGGAAGAAAAACACATGTTTAATTTTATCTCACTCAAATGTACTAAAATGGAATCACTGAGTATATCATACCTGAGTGTAGTGAGAGCACACTGACCCACTGCATCCGTTTGGGTAGGAGAAATGATGCCTCTCATCGTTCCAGGACCTGACCAGATCTGTGATGGACTGGTACCTTTTAAATTATGAATCAACATATCATACATATAGTGTTTGTTTTATTTTATTAATAAAAAAACAATTTATGATTATAATGAGCATTCAGTGTTTCCGCAGTTTGTTAGCTATGTACTACCTTCCTGAAGTGACTGACAGGTTTTGACCCACGTATTTCATGGCCTGTGTCGGACCGTGATCCCAAACACATCGTGAAGCCCATGAATCAGCTGACTTAGCAAGTCCCTCATCCCACAGCTGCATAAATAGCAGAAAAGGAGAACAACAGAGGAGCTGTCACTAACAACCAATCCCTAACATGACATGACATTTTTTCCTATTCTGTATAAAACACCAAAGCCACACAAAGTCAAACACCCAAACTATGCAGGCAATGCTCCCAAGTCATGATCACATTATTATTGTTTTTCTCCATGGTTACTTTTATTGAAGGGCCAACAATAAAATAGTAATTTATCACTGTAACTGATTGCAGTGACTAGTGCCTGTAATGACTAACTCTGCTATTTTATATTGTTAGGTAGCACATGAAGTAAAAAGTAGCATAGCCCTCTGAAATACAATGAAGAACTTCAAAAGAACATAAACAAAACTACAAAAATACCACAGAATTGTATTTAATGCAAAGTTATCAAGAAGATATTGTTTTGTCTTGAGCACTGTAGAGTATTTTTTTAAGTTATTTGTTTTCTTGTCATATTTTATGTATTCTAGACTCTGACTGATTAATCAGTTGGTTGATATTATAGCCGATATTGGCTTATCACCAGTTTATTGGATTCAGCTTACATGGATGGATTTGGGAATTCTGTAATTTCATAGTTTGTCCAGCAGAGGTCTCTGACTCCCCATTTTCAATTCGTTCAGCACTGTCTGCAGCACATGTAGCAGAGCTGGGGTCTTCACTATAAGCTGCCTGCTAGTTTGTATAATGAACTGCTGGGGGTAACACCTCACTATTTAACCTTTTTAGCGCATTTCATAAAAAACAAACTGTCTATGTGTGTCCATATATATACAAGTGCCTCACCATGTACTCCATATTAGCAGCAGGAGGAAAGACCTGAGAGCGGACTCGGTTATGGTAATCCAGCAGGGCATTCATCTCTCTGGGTGAAATTGCTGGTTTACGTCTGCTGCGATAAGTATTGACGCCTCCAGGCATCATCCACAGGGTGGCAGCCAGCATAAGCTGAAAACAAGCAGTCATCTGAGGCCTGTGGAGGAGGAGGAGGCAGCAGCTCTGAGGAGCAGAGCAGATTACATGATAGTCAAATTTACAAGTAAAAAACACAGTCAAATCCCAGGCATATGGTAATTTAATAAGTTGTGTGCTGAATTTGGTTAATTAAACCAGATAAGAGGCAAAAGAGTGTCTCATCAACATATTTGTAAAGGTGACCCTTTTTTTGCAACTATTCATAAAAGGAAAAGGGGCCAGTTTAACTCTCTGGGTTGA